GGATCCGGCGGATGGTCTGCGAGAACACCTTATTTCCCGTCTGGAAATTCCAACTCCAACACCTAACCGAACTTCTCCCAGGAATCAGCGTTGCCTTTCGCCACTGCTTTCGCTGCCGCCTCGCATGCATCGACATATCGCAGGTGAGTAGGTGGCTCTTTGTTTCCAAGCCATTTCTTGAATGCAGCCGTCTCTTTAAGTGCCAGTTGTACCTCTCGTATACACCAAGAAGTTCTCTTCTGACCTCCCGGAGGCATGCCAACCGGTTCGAATCTACAGTATTCAGCGGCAACCCCGAGTACGCCGCTCTTAAAGGTCTCCCACCAGTTATCAGTGGTCATCACTGGGATGTATTCCAACCATCGTGCGATGTTGTTCGCAAGTTTCGCTCTCGTATCTGCCGATGATAATGTTGCCCATTTGATTCTCTGGTTGCTTCCACCGCCAGGTCGTCGCATAGTATTCCATCTTTCAGAACGTAGCGGGCCAACTACAGCGTTTTAAATCAGATGATGCGATTATCAGATCGATAATAGACTTCTGTGCACAAGCCTTCTTGTACCAGGTGTACTATACGCTTCGATGCTTTATGAAGGTGTTCATAATGGACAGTCCGTAATTTGCACAAAGCCGCAACAACTTCATGCCGTTATTGCTGATGTCGCTAAGGCCATTCTTTCACTTTTCCACTTTTCAGCGTCTACTCCGACATGCGCATTAGAATATGATTAACTCTTTAGTCAGCACTTCGGACAGGCACACTGCACTTCCTCAAAGTATCATATTCTCCCTCCAAATTGGGCGAATAGACGATACCAGAGTCAACGCTTTAGCCTGTTGTGGTTTCAGTCGGAGGATTACCATTCTTCCGCTTGCAGGCGTCCAGTCAGTGATTCTATCTGAGAGGTTGGGTTCTATACCAGAACTCCAACACCCGCCTGAGCGTGCGTCGTAATATCGACACCTAAGTAGAATAGCTTCCACCCGCTGACGTTCAGGATTCCAAACCCTTGGCGCTTCTTTGACGAGAGTCCAACAAAGTGGAGTTGGTACTTTATGACCTCTTCATCTAAC